TTTTTTTTTTTTGGTACCGGGGATCGAACTTGGGACCTTGCGCTTGCAAGGCAGGCGCCAGAACCACTGAGCTAAATCCCCGGCCCCATGTTTGAATTTTTTTTGTGCCCTTATATCTAAGGTAAGTTAATTTCTTCTTGTGGTTTTCTAGTAATAAGAATTACATTCACTGGCTAGACTCCTTTATAACGAAATGCCTCTAGATTCTTGGGTTGTCTACCTTGAGACCATAATTTAATATAGATATTTAAATAAATCATGGTGTAGGGGAGGGAGATAACCTAGAGAGCTGAATGCACTGTATAAATACATGCCCAGCATGGTGGCGCACACCTGTCATCTCGGTGCTCCGAAGGTGAGGCAGGAGGATCGCTGAGAGTTCAAGGTCAGCTTCCAATGCATAGCGAGACCCTGTCTCAAAAAATAAAAATTATAGGAAGCAAATTAGGGGACTTTGAGAACAGCATAGTCCCGCATACAGTAATATGTATCTAAGAGCTTCCCATTCACCTGTCAATTATTTTTACAAGATTTAGCATTAAAAACAGCCAAATACACATAGGACCTTCAAACTTCATATAAAAAAATTGGTCTTTGTTCACTCTCAGACGACAAGGTGTCCCAAGAGTGACAACTCTCTACAAGAAACTTGAATCGTAGGTATGGAGGAAGCTCTCTACGCAGTTTCGGAACAGGTGTCCGGCCGGCTGTGTGCCGGGGCGGCGCACTTCTCCCAGCAGGGTGCGCTCTCTGTTACACCGGCGGCTGGATCGGCTGCTTCTGTGCCTCGGCCTCAATAAAGGGCTGCAACTGCGAGTCCACGGCGCCCAAACCAGCCACGCAAGAAGAGGTGGGGGAGGGAGAGGAGGAAACCACGCCCGAGCAACCACGCTTGGTGAGACTAAAAACCAACTCACCGGCCTTCACATCAAACACAGAAACCACCGCGCGAATTTTGAAACCTATATGAGGGGAGGTGGCTTGAGGCGTGACTAACGTCAAAAATTAACCGTTATTGGCTGTACTCTCTTAGGTACCCGCCCCAGAACTCCCCACTATGGGCGGGTCATTCATACAGACTTAATGGTCATTGGCTGAATCGGGAGCATTCTTTTGGTTTAGAGAGGTCTCATCGGCTGGATTCCATGTTCCTCTTCTTAGAGGCGGGACGCGAGAGGATAAGACCAACGGGATGGGTTTCTTCTTAGGGTTGAGTTCCCAAGTGTCGCAGAAGGTCCTTAAGTCAAGAGTAACAGTAGGATCTGGAGCTTAGTTCTGGGACGGATGTAGGGGCTCAAGGGGCTTCACCCAGCCGTCCTCGCTCTAACACGCCCAGCTTCCCAGTGTTGAATCCGGGCGGGTCGGTCGCGTCGCGCGCGTGGCGTCATCGCGAGGCGCCGCGCGCGTCCAGAGGGAGCCGTGACCTCCCAAACGTGGGGACCAATGCTGCAGTTATTCCGGGCCGGAGCGGGGGCCTGGCTTCGGTCCTCGGGCTGCAAGGTGAGGCGGAGGACTGGGGACAGGGTCAGAGAACAAAGGGTAGCGAGTTGGGGGTCGTGTCTCACGCTCAGCTACCGTTTGCAGGCCCTGAGTTCGCTGGCGGAAGAAGTAGTCCTGCCGATGAAGAAGTCGGAGCCGGAGCCGCAGGCGAGCCCAGGTGAGCAGCGAGGGGTCACCCAGTAGGGGCGGTGACGCGGAGCGGTGACCCTTGACCCTGACCCCGCCATTGCTGCAGTTGTCCAAGAGCCTGTGCTGCGCCGATGCGAACTCCCGGTCCCCGCGCACCGGCGCCCGGTGCAGGCCTGGGTCGAGTCCCTGCGGGGTTACGAGCAGGAGCGTGTGGGCCTGGCTGAACTGCACCCCGATGTCTTCGCCACGGCGCCCCGGTGAGCGGGGGTGTGGTGGGAGCTGGGAAGGGATGGGGAGCGCGAGTTCAGGAATCAGCGTGACCTAGGCTCCTCCCCTTGGGCTTCAGTTGCTCCACCTGCCAAAGGGGGGGATGGAGTCTGGGTGGTGGCTCACCCCTGTGATCCCAGCACTGGGTAGGCCGAGGCAGGAGGATCGCTGCAAGTTCAAGGCCAGCTTGGTTCAAGGCTAACCTGAACCACATGGCAAGATCTTTTCTCAAAAACAAGCAAAAGAGCACCAAGGAGGACTAAAGTCTCACTAGATGCCTGGCATAGCCCATTTTCATTTTATAGTTAACTGGTTCCACATAGCAACCAAAGGGAAGAATGCTGTTATGCTTAGTTTTTAGAACTGAGGCACAGAGTTAAGTAAGGTTACACAGCAACAGAGCCAGAATCCAAAACTGCAGGTAACTCCCAGGGGACCCTTTCCAGTGCACTTTCTGGTACCTAATACATGTTATTAAAGTGGGGAATGGTGGTGCACACCTGTAGTCCCAGCACTCAGTAGTCTGAAGCAGGAAGATCATGAGTTCAAGGCCAGCCTGGGCAACTTAGCAAGACCCTGTCACAAAACAAAAAGGGGCTGGGATGCAGCTCAGTGGTAGCGTACTTGCCTAGCATGCACAAAGTCCTGGTTTCAATCCCCAGAAACACACAAAAAGAGAGCCAGGTGTAGTGATTCAGGCCTGTAGTCCCAGTACTAGGAAGGCTGAGGTGGGAGGATCACAGGTTTGAGGCCAGCCTGGGCTACATGATGAGACCCTGTTTCAAAAACAAAAACAAGGGTCGGGGATTTAGTTCAGTGGTTTCGATGCCTGCTGCGAAAGCGCAAGGACCTGAGTTCGATCCCCAGTACCAAAAAAAACCCCAGAAAAAGACAACAACAAAACTCGGAAAGAGACAGGTGAGACTGATTTCGATGATATACTGTATTTAACCTGGTATATCCGGAAATTTTGTCAACACATGGCACTAACCATATTTCAGCCATTCAGTGGCTAGGCGTAGCTGGCATCTGCTGTACAGAATAGCAGAGAGCTGGAGTAGCAGTTCCTGAAGGAATCATCATGGTAGGAAAGAAGCAGGGAGAGAGGAGGGGCAGCTCTTCCCAAGGGGACTCTTCTCAGAGGTGGTGTGAGAGGCTGAGAAGGAATTGGCCAGGACAGGATTTCAGGCAGGGAACAGTAAGTCCAAAGGCCCTGGGGCTGGACTCCATCTTCTGAGAGGCCAGCTTGGTGGGAGGAGATTGGAGATGAGGTCAGAAAAAGGCAGATTACATAAAGACCCGGAGGTTGAGTAGAAAATCTGGATTTTCCTTTAGTCAAGTGGAGAGCGTGTGAGGGTTGGTTTTGTTTTTGGTACTGAGGGTTGAATCCAGGGCCTTTGCATTGAGCTATATCCCAATCCCTTTTTTATTTTTTATTTTGAGACACAGCATCAATAAGTTGCCCAGGCAGGACTCCAATTTGTGATCCTCCTGCCTCAGCCTCCCAGAGTGCTGGGATTATAGGTGTGGGGCGCTGTGCCCAGCTGTGTAGGAGCCTGCAAAATGGAGATGGCTTCTCACGTCTCCCTCCTCTGCCCCCAGGGTGGATGTCCTGCACCAGGTGGCCATCTGGCAGAGGAACTTCAAGAGAATTGTGAGTGTGGAGAAAGGGTAAAGGCAGAAGAGTTTCCGGTGGGGCTGGGGGCAGGAGGCAGAGGAAGCCATTGGGATTTCTCTCTGGAGTGTGTGGCCTGGCCTCCTCCTCTCCATCCAGATCCATGCACAGGTGGCTCAGTTTTCACGCACCTCCTGAGCACCCACCACTGTAGGCTCTGCTCAGGAGAGGGCATAGCCGAAGACAGGACAGGGATGGGTCCCAACCTCAGGGAGTTCACGACATGAATCAGGCAACTGGGTCTGTGATGGGCAGTTATCCCAGAGAAAGGGACATTTAACCCTGGGTCTCATGTAGAAGCTGAGCAGATCAGCAGGGCAGTAGGGCTTGTGTGGTGACAGTGGGACCAGCACAGGGTGTGCAAAGGCCCTGTGGCCAGGACCAGAAGGAGCCCCCTGTGCCATAGCGGTCAGTAGGAACCATAGTGAAGAGTTTGGAATTTATGCCAGGAATCTGAAAGAATCCATTATCAGGCTGGGAACGGGGTGCATGCCTATAATCCCAGCACTCTAGGAGGGTGAGGCAGGAGGACTGCAAGTTGGAGCCCAGCCTAGGCAATTTCGCAAGCCCTGTCTCAAAATATAAAAAGGGCTGGAGTGTCGCTCTGTGAAAACACTGGGTTCAACCCCCAGTGCCACCAAAAAGAGAATCTATTTTCAGACTTCCTGCCTTTCAGCCACCCATCCCCGACAGCTAGAGAGTCTGTCCCCTGCTGGCCCAGGCCCTGAGAATGAAGCCACCACCAGCCTGGCGTCCCCTCCAGCCTTGCCTTCCCTCAGCCACCCTGACCCCTGGTGCCTGCAGTGCCATCGCCTTCTGCACCTGACCCTCCCCTTGCCCACAGAGCTATGCCAAGACGAAGACAAGGGCCGAGGTGCGGGGCGGCGGCCGGAAGCCCTGGCAGCAGAAGGGCACTGGGCGTGCGAGGCACGGGAGCATCCGGTCCCCGATCTGGCGCGGTGGTAAGTGCGCATGGCAGGTGGCCTCAGGTGGCTTGGCACCCAGTGTTTCCCCAGCATCTAGAATCAACCTCCTTTGGGTGCCACCCTGATTCCCTCTGCAAGTGTCAAGCCCTGTCTGTCTGTCTTAGCCACAGTATTCCCCAGCCTGCTAACTCCACGGCAGCTTGCGGCCTGTGCTCACCTCCCCCAGCCCCGGAAGCCTCAACCTCCCTCAGCTGCACCATTAACCACTTAGGCTTTAGGTGTGCCTGTCCTCTCTGCTGGTCCCGGGAGGTGGCCGCATCCTCTGCCCATTTTTAGTGTTCACTGCGGCCTATTCCTCGCCCACCAAGTGGCCTGCACGCTTCACCCACCTCTGTTCCTGCAGGCGGCGTGGCGCATGGCCCTCGGGGCCCCAAGAGCTACTACTATATGCTGCCCATGAAGGTGCGAGTGCTAGGCCTCAAGGTGGCGCTGACAGTGAAGCTGGCGCAGGTACGGAGCCGCCCCGCCCGGTCCTGGAGGGAGGTGAGTGGGCCACTGTGGGCTCAAGGCGCCTGCATCCCCAGGATGACCTGCATGTCGTGGACTCCCTGGAGCTGCCCACTGCAGATCCCCAGTACCTGATGGAGCTGGCCCGCCACCGCCACTGGGGCGACTCTGTGTTGCTCGTGGACCTGTGAGCACCTAGGGCAGAACGTGGGTGGGGATGGGGGGACGGGAGGGCCCTGCACGGCTCCTCAGGGCTTACGCTGCTGTGGTGCAGGACACACGAGGAGATGCCGCAGAATGTCGTGGAGGCCACCAGCAGGCTCAAGACCTTCAACCTGATCCCAGCTGTCGGTGAGCAAAGGGCCTGGCCCACCCCAGAGTGAAGGCGTGTCAGTCCCCTTGTCAGAGCCATGGGTGGCTCGAGGCCTGCATGTGAGCCCAGTGTGGTGGTGGACACCTGTAATCCCAGCACTCGGGAAGCTGAAGCAGGAGGATCCCAAGTTTGAGGCCAGTCTGGGAAACATAGCAAGATCCAGGCTGAAAACAAAACACCTGCCTCTGTCACTTGTGGAATGGCCTTGAGCAGTGAAGGACCGCATTCCCTGAGCAGACCCTGTGCTTTCCCGGAATGGTGCCTTTCTCCACAGAAACGCGCCGAGCTCCCACCTGTCAAAGTTTGTTCCCGCTGCAGCCACCAGAGGGTGCTGTGAGTGGCTGAGTCAGAGTCCAGCCTCCTGCCCCGGGCCTCTGGACCGCTGCCACCTCCGGGCAGGGTCCTGCTGACCTGCCCCCGTCCCCTCCCTGCCCTTTCCCTCCCACACAGGTTATCCCTGTGGTCTGGGTCTCCCTCACTGTGGCCAGTCTCAGGACAGCCCAGAGAGCTGGGGGCGGCCTCTTGGCCACGTCTTGTTTTTTGAGACAGGGCCTTGAACTCACTGTGTAGCTCAGGATGGCCTTGAACTTACAGCGATCCTCCTGCCTCAGGCTCCTTAGTTCTGGGATGATAGGTGTGCACCACCACACCCAGCTGGCCAGGGCCTTGTGGGCAGCAAAGGCAGCGGTGAAGCCATTCTGCTGGGTCACCACTGGTGCCAGATCTGGGGGTCCCCTCCCCAGATGTGGCAGGTGGGACGGGCTGACCCCACGCCCGCCCCCAGGCCTGAACGTGCACAGCATGCTCAAGCACCACACGCTGGTCCTCACCCTGCCCACCGTCACCTTCCTGGAGGAGAAGCTGCTCTGGCAGGACTCACGCTTCTCACCCCTCTACCCCTTCCACCTGCCTTACCAAGACTTCCCCTGACGGGCACCACCTCGCTGCAGGGAGCGGCCACGAAGACTTCAGCCCTGGAGGGACAGCTCTGCAGAGAGCTAGGACAAGATCCTGCCCTGGCTCTCCCTGGTTGTGTTTAAAATAAAGTTTATTTTATTTTAATTAGTTACATGTGTATATGTTTTGTTTGGGTACCAGTAATTGAACTCAGGGCCTTACTCTTGCCAGGCAGTTGTGGCACCACTGAGCTACAGCCCTGGCCCTGTATTTAAGTATTTTGAGACAGGGTCTTGCTATCTAGCTTATGCTGGCCTTGAACTCACTGTATAGCCCAGGCTTGTGACCCTCCTGCCTCAGCCTCCCAAATGTTAGGATTACAGGCCTGTGCTATCATGCCTTGCTAAAAATAAATTTGATATTTCACACAAGAGTCAGGAACAGAAGTTGGTGTGGTGGCGAAGGCCTGTAATCCAGCACTGGGGAGGCAGAGGCAGGAGGACTGTGATGAGTTCAAGGCAGAGGCGCAGTGCCATCTTGTCCCTGACAGGCTTGTGGCCCTGCTATCACGGCTTCTGGCCCAGGAGCTCAGGTCCACAGGTAGATGCAATGTGTAGGCCAAGGTTTAATCACAACTGCTCCAAGCAGAGCCATCAGAAAGCCAGGGTTCTTCGGTCGCATGAGTGGGCAAATAAACACTGTTAGGCACAAAGCCAGTGTCCCAGTTCTTTTTTTTCTAGTATTCAGGACAACCTAGGGCTTCATGTGTGCTAGGCAGGTACAGCATTGATTCACATTTTTTTTTTTTTTTTGGTACTGGGGATCAAACTTGGGACCTTGCGCTTGCAAGGCAGGCGCCGGAACCACTGAACTAAATCCCCAGCCCTAGATCCAGCATTGAGCTGCACCCGAGAACCCCACCCCCGAATTTTTTTTTTGTACTGGGGATTGAACCCAGGTCCTCATATGCAGCTATAGTCCCAGTCCTTTTTATTTTGAGACAGGGTCTCAGTAAGTTGCCTAGGCAGGTCTCTGATTTGCAATCCTCCTGCCTCAGCCTCTCAGACTGTTGGAATGACAAGTGTCCACCACCATGCCTAGCTAAAATCCCAATTCCTGTCTGCACGTTATCTCCCTGCTGCATTGCTTTTGGCAGTACTGGGGATTGAACTCAGGACTTTTCTCACTGAGCTACATTCCCCAGATGTGTTTTGTTTTTTTTTTTGGTACCGGGTATTGAACTCGGGTCCTTGCGCTTTCGCAGCAGGGAGTGAAACCACTGAGCTAAATCCCCAGCCCTGTGTTTTGTTTTTTGAGACAAGGTCTCACCAAATTGCCCAGGCAGGACTTGAATGTTTTCGTTTATTCAGACAGCGTCTTGTGTAGTCCAGGCTGCCCTTAAACTCTGTGTAGCTTGGGTTGGCCTCAAATCACGGGAGATCCTCCTGCCTCAGCCTCCTGAGAGCTGGGATCACAGGTGTGTGCCACCACAACTGGCTTAAATTAATGTTTTAAGTAGTCATCGAAGGGTTATAAAATAACCGGTCCAATTCCTTTAAGGAAGTGGGTGTGATGCTGTGGCGCCCTCTACAGTCCCAGCTATGAAGGAAGCAGAGGCAGCCCAATCACCTCCACCAGGAGCGCCAGGGCAGTTGGGGCAACACAGGGAGATTTCCTCTAATACACAAAGAAGAAAAAGTTGGCAGGAACTGCCTCCTGGTGAGCAGCTAGGCCCAGCCAGGTGGCCATGTGGCCACCCTGCCCTCTGGTGGTCGCCTTGCTGTAAATATCACTGGGATGTGTCACTTGGCTTTCAGGACACAAAAGCCATGGGGAGCCATTTAAAATAGTGTTCCAGAGGGCCGGGGATTTAGCTTAGTGGTTCCACCACATGCCTCAAAGCGGAAGGACCCAAGTTCAATCCCTGGTGCCAAAAAATAAACAAACAAACAAACAATAAATAAAATAAAATAGTGTTCCTGGGCCTTGGATTTAGCTCAGTGGTTCCGGCATCTGCCTTGAAAGCGCAAGGTCCCGAGTTCAATCCGTGGTACCAAAAAACCAAAAAACTCTTCCTATGCCGGGTGTGATGGCGCATGCTTGTGATCGCAACACTCAGGAGGCTGAGGTGGGTGGATTGCCATGAGTTTGAGGCCAGCCTGGCTATGGAGCAAGACAATGGTCTCAAAAAATCAAATCAATTGGGGCCAGAGATTTAGCTCAGTGGTTCCACCGCCTGCCTCACAAGTGGAAGGTCCCAAGTTCGATTCCCGGTACCAAAAAAAAAAAGGTCAGGGATGTAGCTCAGTGGCACCACACATGCCTGGAAAGCCCAAGGTCCTAAATTCAATCCCCCCAAAAATCAATCAGTGTTGTGAGGGGGGCCGGTGTTTGTTAGGACAAACTCTTACCTGAGTGTCTGCTGTGCCTCTGGGTGGCCCTGTGGGGGACACTGAGCTGCTGTCCCAAGAGGATTCAGTCTCACTGGCCTGGACAGTCATAGCTGGACGAAGGAATCTGCTTCCACCTGCATCCTTGTTCTGAACTATGAGGGAATTGAGGGCGACAGAGAAGTTGTCAGAACCTGTCACACACACCGGAAGCCTTCCTACAGAGCCAGATCCAGATCCAGCACAGAAAGGGCTACCATGTCTCCTGTGTGCTTCTGAATAATTGAGAGGTGGCTACATGTACTAATGTGTGCCTGGAGTCCTAGCTACTCAAGAGGCTGAGGCAGGCGGGTTCTTGAGCCTAGGAATTTAGGGCCAACCTGGCCATCATAGTAAGACCCTGTTTTAAAATAATCTGCCAGGGATGTAACTCAGTGGCACGGAACCTGCCTGGCAAAGTGCAAGGGCCTGAGTTCCATCCCTGGTACCAAAAACAAAAATAATAATCTGGCTATGATGGCACATGCCTATCATCCCAGCACTCGGGAGGCTGACACAGGAGGATCACAAGTTCAAGACCAGTCTGAACAACTTTTAGTGAGTTTACAAGATACCAAGTCAAAAAAAATTAAACAAACAAAAAATTAAACAAAATGAGCTGAGGATGTAGCTGAGTGCAGAGACACTGGGTTCAATCCCCAGTACCCCCTGCCCTACAAAAGCCTTGGTATTTACATAGAACCCACACACAACCTTTCATAGACTTTAAATTGTAGTTGGCTTATCGTAGCTAATACAATGCAAATGCCATGGAAATAGTTGCTTCCTGTGTTGCTTAGGGAATAATGACCAGAAAACGTATCTGTATGTTCAGTCAGGGCCATGGAAACCCTGAGACTAGCAGAGAAACAGCCACCTGAAAACAATCCCAATTTTTTTCAAATGTTTTCCTTGCATAACTGGTTAATGCAGAACCTGCTCCCCCTGCTTGACAGGGCCCAAAACTGGTGCTGGTGTGACAGGGTCCTTGACCTTCTGGAGCTCAAGGAAACAGAGGTGACAACAGTGGCAGAAATCAAAAGTCTTCCGGCAAATAACGAGTTTCCGAGTTTCCCTAATGAGAATGTTAGGGAGAGTGACCGGGTGACCTGGGTGCGGTCCAGGGTAGAGCAAGATTGGATGGGAGGGTTTGGGAAACCTTTTAGCTTGGGACAGGAGAGGAGCAGATATAGCCCGGCGTGGTGGTGGTGCACACCTGTGATCCCAACACTCAGGAGGCTGAGGCAGGAGGATCCCTGTGAGTTTTGAAGCCAGCCTGGGTTACATAGTGAGTTCAAGGCCAACCTGAGCTACACAGCAAGACCTTGTTTCAGAAAAAGTAAATAAATGAACAAATAAGAAGAAAGGAAGGAGGAGTGGGCCATGCTGGGGATGAGGGGCAAGCATTCGGGGGGCTGAGGACCAGCGGCCGCACCGGAGCTCAGAGCTTAATGTCACGGGGTGGGCTCTGAGTGCTTTTGGGTCCACAGGCTCTGGTCCACCGGTGCCCATCTGCCGCCTGCGGGCGACTGCCTGGCACCTGGGAGGAAGCTGTTTCCTTCCTGGAGCCGGGCATCTACTTCCCCTTTCCTCAGGGAGAGGGCAAGGCTGGGCGGAGCCGCTCCCTCCCTTGCCAGGCTCCGAAACAGCACCGGCAAGGGACCCGGCTGACCAAGGACCCTCCCTGGGCTCTGTGCCGGCTCCCGCGGCCACCCTCAGGGGAATCCAGGGCCAGCCTGCTCTCAGCGCCGCAGACCAAGCCCCACCATGGCTCTCTGGGCTCATGGCTGCAGTTCCTCTTGCAGCCGCAAGACGGCGCCTATGAGCACCTGGATCACCCTCTGCTCAGAACCTTCCATGGCTTTCACCTGCCCAGACAAGTACAGCCTGCCCTCACACCTCCTTGCTGTCCATTTCTCTACCCCATTTACTTGGCTGCAGCCATATGGAAATTCTGGCGGCTCCTTGAGTGGTCCCTACCAGAAAGCCTTTGCACCGTCCTCTTGGTAGCCTCTTCCCCAGGACATTCCTATCACCTGCTCCTTGATGCTTTCTGGTCTTTGCGCATTGTCTTTTCTTTCTTTTCTTTCTTTCTTTCTTTCTTTCTTTCTTTCTTTCTTTCTTTCTTTCTTTCTTTCTTTCTTTC